GAACTTTGCAAAGGGATACTCTTTTCCAGCATCAGCAACACGACGCCAGTGATGAAAAATCGCGCCGTCTGTACGTGCTGGATTGGTAAATGGTGCCCATTTCCATGGTCTGACTTTCTTCATACCAAGTTTGGCTCTCACCTGCTTGTATCCCTTCGCGGTGTCGGTTGGGAACAGAGGCGGTACGTCATTATTGTCCTTACAAAGGAGGGCAAACACTTCACGGTGCATACCTTCAGGACGTTTTGGCATTTTGTTGTAATCATATCGTTTGCGATTCTTTTTGTCACTGCCCAATATTGACTCTTTCGTCAGTTCCGTAGTCGTTGGTACCTCAATATCCAGAATATCGCGTACGTCTGCCATCGTGACAGCTACTAATATTTTTTTCGTAAAGATATTTTTTTTGGAGTAATTTCCGGTTGATGAATAATAATTGCCTTCAACCTTGAAGTTATATGACGATATGAAAGATACGAAAAAACTTCATGCGTTTTGAGGTTAAGTTTCTATTTTAAGGTTAACTTGTTTACTTATTGTCAGTAAACTACTTCACTAAGCACACATTACTTATTGATTAAAATAAAGAAATCAAAAAGGAAAGATTACTACAAAAGCTACAAATTACACTCAATTATACAAATAAAATACATTGTATACTTTAGATTTTATGTAGAAAAACACCTATGTTTATCTGCAATAAATAGATCAACTGAGATGAAGAACATGTGAGCAAAACATACACCAGCGCACCAACGTCCATTTCAGCAATATATATAGTGTTTCATCACAATCAAGTTATTTACTGCCGATAAAGTAAATGGCATATTTGTCGATTATCTATAATTGCGCTAATTTCTTCTAATTCAACAAAACTCAAAGCGCATTGCAATTTCAAAAACTTCATTTATTATAAATTATTTTATAGTAATATAAACAAATTAACATGCGACTATTATGTCATCAAACATAGTCACATTTCCAGCAAACAAGCTGACTTAGCTGACATCATTTTTACATCAGCTTGTTTGCAGAGTTCGTGTCAATTCGTAAGTACGGCTATAATTGTAATTTATTATGTTAGGTGTTTATGAATGCTTATATAACACTAAGTATATTTACATATAGATACAATGGAAACTTGCCAGAGAACCATCAGAGTGCCACCCAGGAATCTTTGTTTATCGAATGTTAAACAAGACTGACATAATATTCGGAAAGCACTCTTAATAGAAATCTAAATACACTTCTGGAGGTTGATTGTATATCTTGAAATGAAGTGAAAATTTCCAAAGTGAGGAAATTGTGTTAACCAGTATGTGTATAAATATTCTACTAAATTTTTATTTTCATAATTTTTACCTCATTTCAAGACAATCAACACTACAATCGACACTCTGAAAATATTACAAAGATGTCATTCAGATATCATATAAAGATGTTCTCATATCATGTCTCATAAACATCCTTACATCTCCTTTTTGGATGTGTATCATCTGAAGATCCAAACAATATGTATGTCTGAAAGATACATACATTATAAAGATATTTCTTGGGATATATGTCTAAAAGATATATCTAAAAGTGTCATAAAGATGTTGATTTCATTATATTGACTTTGTGAATTGTATCTGAATTGTATCATTAAATGTATATATCGTTACTTACTTAAACATTTCCACTCATATCATAATATTACCTCATTATACGATGAACTTCATAAATTTACATTATAAATATTACTTCATAAGAAAAATACTTAATATACAAATTTTTATTGAGGTTGCATGATATCAATACTTTGAGGAGCAGTAACATCTAGTAAGTTTATAGTGTTAGGCGATCGATAATTTGTGGAATGTGATGAGACAGATCTATGATCTGATTTCTTTTCTAAACTAAAAAATTTGCAGCTTACAATATACCAAAAGCTTTGTACGACGTTTTTAACCAAGCCTGCAAATTTACATAATTCAATAATTCTTTGTATTATTCTCATTAAAAAATTCATTGTTTGCAAATACTTACCACTTGTAACAAAAATACCACCTACAGTGGCACATAATTTCACTAAAAACTGAAAAACTGTATCACGTTCTTGTGTCACTTTGATCTTGAGTGCACTCATGTCATATTTGAAAAAAATTCCAGGTATTCCATGAGATCCTTTATGATGATCAATTGGCCTCTGATGATCTTTGACACTATATTGGTATGTCTTAGATGTTGTTAATAACGTCCTAATATCTGTAGGGACAACTTCAACAAAATATTGATAAAGCATCATATCTGAAAGAAAAATTATCTATTAAATTTAAAATATCATGGCTTGTTTCTAACATCTTACAAGACTAAAACAAACTTACTATTATCTGCGATCTTCTCATCACCTTCAAGAGGATGCACAATTCCTGGACTAGGTCCACCAAAAGAAAATTTATTGATTCTGTGAGTAAAATTATAATCTCGATCCGTCATAAATGCAGAAATATGTATATGACCATGTGGCACAGACAATGATTTTCCTGCAGTTATATGAAAATTACCTGCTACTTTATTAATATTCAGACTACCATGAACACGGCAGGCATTTGGTGCATAATCTGGTACATATGATCTAAATGGTATAAATGATTGTGTTCATAAATTGTAATACATCTACAATTTTCAACAAAGATCATAGAATCACAAATAATTAAGTTAATTCGCACATACCGCTTTGGCATTTCACTGTACAGAGTAACCTGATTGGATTTCCAAAGCAATTCATGAATAGCATGATATTCTTCTCTTAAATAAGAATTCATATGCTTCAAAGCTTCAAAATGTGTTCTTTGTTCTTGCGTTAATTCCCACCATGTATCCTCTTCAGTCAAAGAATCAAAATCTATCATATGTTGATTTGTAGAATCTAAAACATCAGCACCAATACGACCACAAGGCATTGCTACTGTTACATCAATATTGATTTGGAGTTTTGCATCAATGTCAGTATCTGGCTCAAATGTGAATTGTAATCTACTATCAAGATAATAACTTGTTTCAGCTATTACCAAATACATGATAGTAAGAACTGTAAAAATGGAAACTGAAACAGAACCAGATTAAGTCGATCAAAATGAGCAAAGAGCATAGTTAAGAACATATAAATATATATAAATTAAAATATATATAAATATATATAAATATATATAAATTAAACAACATATAAATATTAAACAATACATAAATATGTATATCATCCTCAACACAAGAAATTTAGTAATAATTATTAACTCACATGTTCCTCCAACTGCAGTTTTGTCAACATATACCTCAGGAACTTTTGGGAACGCATCCAGTTCCTTAACGGTCTTAACATTAACGTGTCGTCGCCTCAACATTTTTACAACTTACTTGCAAATATCCACAAACTATTTAATATTACAACTAACCTATAAATAAATATTTACTACGCTTAGAAAATAATCCAGACCTATGTACAAGTTCGATGTTTACCTTTAGTACTGTATTTATCACCATATTCACTACTCTCTAAATTTTAGTTAAATAAAAGGAGGCAATATTTTGTACATTTCTTGACACGTGGGTACTATCGTATGTACCGTATATAATTTTAACATGTCTACACGAGAAATATGACATCCGAGACTAGCCAATATATGCTAAAGTCACTACAAAAATATTAAGCGGCGATTTTGCATATAGAAAGATGGCGCCACAATATACTTATATCGTGACTTCAATCATTCTGCTAATGTACATATATTAAATATTTTAAATATTTTACGGCATTTTGGAAATTCGAACAGAGAATATTATGAAACCTATGCGTTTGAACTATCTAAATATTCAACTAAATAATTGTCAATATTTATATTTTTTCCAAAGCGCCGGTTAGACGAAAATGTCAATTTGCCATTTATAAATTTCAATATTTTTTTTAAACTAATTCTCAGTTAATATCAAATTCAATTTTTGATCACAAAAATTCATAAAGGATACCATAAAGATCCACAAAAATTAAACATCGTATAAGAACATGAATTGTCAATGTTTTTTTTTCAACGTAAAGAAATTGGTAATCCTAACTTATTTTTATAATAGGCCCTAATTAGTGTTATATGAACTTTGGTTCTAACAAGTTTATAAATCATATATGATTGTAATAATTTCAAAACTTCATTTCTTACGTAACATAAATATTTTTAAATTAAAGAATACAAACTATAAAAACAAACACGTAAATTTATATTTAAGAATATTCGAACCAAGAGAACATCAAACGTATAAATAAAATTTGTGGCCCTGATAAGGGCCGTTGATCTTGAGAGGAATGATTCACTTGGAACTAGTGTACTTGGTGACAGCCTTGGTGCCTTCACTCACGGCGTGCTTCGCCAATTCTCCGGGCAGCAGCAGCCTTACGGCAGTTTGAATCTCTCGAGAGGTGATCGTCGAGCGTTTGTTGTAATGAGCCAAACGCGATGCTTCAGCAGCGATACGCTCAAAAACATCATTGACAAAGCTATTCATTATGCTCATAGCTTTGCTAGAGATTCCAGTGTCTGGATGGACTTGCTTCAGTACTTTATAGATGTAAATAGCATAGCTCTCCTTCCTCTTCCTCTTTTTCTTCTTATCGGTTTTGCTGATATTCTTCTGAGCTTTTCCAGCCTTCTTCACCGCTTTGCCGCTCGCTTTCGGTGGCATGATTCAAGTCTTTTCACAGCGCCGTACAAGCAATCGCTGAGACGGAACTTCGAAAAGTGACGGCGACGGGCACCGTGTGTTCTATATATACAGTAAAGCGACAGTGGTAGCGCACCAATCGCATGACGCGACCCAACTAGTCGTCACGCGCTCGTATCCGATTGGACGCGCGTAACCATAGCAATACAGTATAAATACTCGTCGAGAACCAGCTAAAGCAACACTCCGAGTGGAAACGTCGTACGATTCGTGACACCTTGATCTCTCGTTCTTCACCAACTGCAACCATGTCAGGCCGTGGCAAAGGTGGAAAAGCTAAGGGAAAGGCGAAGTCTCGCTCTAATCGTGCTGGACTTCAGTTCCCTGTTGGTCGTATTCACAGACTTTTGCGAAAAGGAAATTATGCTGAGCGCGTCGGCGCTGGTGCTCCGGTCTATCTAGCTGCAGTGATGGAATACCTTGCTGCTGAAGTATTGGAATTGGCGGGAAATGCCGCTCGCGACAACAAGAAGACCAGAATCATTCCTAGACATCTCCAACTAGCCATTCGCAATGACGAGGAATTGAATAAGTTGCTCTCTGGTGTTACCATCGCTCAGGGTGGTGTACTGCCGAATATTCAAGCAGTCTTACTGCCAAAGAAAACTGAGAAAAAAGCTTAACTACAGTAATTACAAACGGCCCTTTTTAGGGCCATCAATTTCTTCATATACGACGAATATCTCATTTGCAATTCTATAATCTATTACCTTTATTTAATTTTTACAATTTAATACTTTTATCTTTAATTAGTTAATATAAATTTTTATTAAAAATATGTATTATCTTTTAATGATTTAATTTCTTACATTAATGTTATATAAAATTAATTTAATTACTGATTAATTTAAAATATCGAATATATTCAAATATAATCCAAATTATATACACGTCACATGTAGGCTTACCGCTATCACTATTTTCGCTTTACTCATTACCTATTTTAAAGAAAGCTCACTTTTGCTTATTTTTTCAATAAAACACTTCATTTTTTTCTGATAAAATTGTATTATTTCTGTGTTTGCTATAATTTCTGTCTAACAAGTTGCACATTTTTTTAAATTTTTGCTGCGTTTTTATTCCTTTTCTGTGAATAGATTTGAATAATTTGAATCTGCCATATATGTGGTGGCAGGATTTTTTTACCTCATTATTAGTTAAGAAAGATTTTCATTTAAGCATTTCATTATAATTTACAATTACTCCAATTCATTAAATTAATTTATTGAGCACTAGTCATGAAAAGTATTGTCATGTTGTCATATGTACTTGTGCCATGGTAATAACTTTGTATGAAAATGTGATATTGTACAAATGCAAAAACTCATATACCAAATAATATTGGATTGGAGAAAAAATTCTTTATTCAGTTCAAAATTATATACAAAATATATTACGAAATTTTGACTAGCTGACGTGAAAATTTAATTTTTTTTTAAATTCATTTTAAAAATGTTTCTACTTTTGTTATCACGTGGATTATAAAAGAGCATTCTGATTTTGATTGCTCATAACTCCGTTAAAAATCATGGTATCGTAATTAATAAAATAGACTTAAAGCTGAAACTTTGCTCCATAATATAATATCATGTTTTAAATATCACGCTTTTTTAAATGTAAAATATATGGAAATTTGAGTTATAAAAATGTTACTATTATTATGATCATTGCGCAATAATTATAAGGACATTAATATCATATTTTTAGCTCAAATTTATATGTATGTTCTATTTTTTTTATAATAGCAATTATACCATTCAATAGAGCAACGTTTCAGCTTTAAGAATTTGTTTTTTCTAATTGCAACATTGATATGATGATTTTTAATGTAGCAAAGTGAGAATTCCTTTTTATTTAACTTGCGAATAACGCAAGAACAAAAAATCGTAAAAACATTTTTAAAAAACGATTTTGTAAGAAAAACTCCAAACTTTCACAATATAGATAGTTGAAAATTTACGTAATTTTGTTTTTTTTTTTCGACACGTGATAGACTTTCAAAGTGAGAAGAAACATTTCCCTTTTTTTTAGCTCGTAGTTTTCTAAATATAAAAATTACAAAAATCATCAGTCACCATTCAAAAGTAGAGATTTCATACTTTAAAATCTTTTCTTTTTTTTTAATTTAAATTTTGTTCGTTTTTAACGAAGATATTATATATATCATTTTTGAGCTAACAAAATACCGCAGAACTTTTCCTCCAAGCCAATATTAAGGGAAAATTATGCTATAAAATTTTAAATATGTCTAATTTTATTGGTTTTATATATATATATATATATATATATATATACACATATAATCGTTTTTTAAATTAAAAAATGTCTTTAGATTTAATGGAATTTTAAATAATGAAGATATCACTGTCAGAATAATATGTTCAAAATAAAGTGCTAATCCTTAGATACTATTCTATACAATTTTAATCAAGTCTAAAACAAATTAGCTTGTTGCTCAGTGTTTAAAAAATCCACTTTTCTCTCACCATTTCGAATACAAAACTCATTATTCTCACTTTTTTGGGAGCACTGAGCCTGCACATTTTATAATTTCAAAAGTGATCTACATCATAAAAACAAACTATTTTAGTATTAAAACATTTTATTTATAGACGTAGATTTATATACACTACATAAAATTATCAATCCTTTGATAAATATCAAATGTGTAATACTGGTTGGAGATATTTAATGACTACAAAAAATATATTTACTATCATTAATATATTTCAAAAAGAAAATCATATAAACAGACAATTGGGAATTGGCGCTTTTGGGAATAGACGGTGCGCAGTTTTTGTTTCTTTAAATTATTTATATATTCATTACTTGTATACATGTTTCAGCTAATCTTTTAGCCTTCCTCAGCAAAATTACAATATATGTTACAACACGTTAGTTATCCATGAATCATATAAAAGTCATTATATGTTAAAGTAACAGTTGATATCATTGTGTGGCAGTAACATTCCTCCATTTCAGAATAAAAATTCCCAGTTTAAAAGCTGGATGATGTGTGATTGAAAATCTAATTAATTATAAATAATAATTAAGCTAAAAACATTTTTATGTCAAGAAAGACTTACTCCACAATAATGAAACTGACGATTATATTGGTCAATTATTACAATAATAAAATAAATAGTAATAATAGAATAAGTTATAATATAGAATAGAATAGAATAGAATTTATTACACTTCAGCGTATTTACAAGAAGGAGACTTGGTTTACATAAAATTCTTAACTCATTCATACATCCATACCTCGTCCGCAAGCTATCGCACATATATTATTATAAAAATTTTTTAATTTTGCTTATCCCTTTACTTCCCTTCATTTCTCTACTTTTCTAGTTAAACTCTCTATCTTCGCTTCTTTACTTACATTATTTCATTTTATTTCTTTTCGCTTTATCCGCTTTTTTCTCATAGTTATATCTAATGTATTTTCGTTCAATACCCGTATACATACGTTTTCTCTACATCACAGACTTATCACAGACTCATCGTGAATAAATTAATAGTTAAAGATATAAAATTCTCAGCGTAATCAATAATAAAATTGTATTAAAGTTGAATAAAAATGTTAATATAATTCAACAAATTGTCAAATGTGTCACTGATTAACAAGAAACGACAAAGATCAGTGTAAGTCAGAGCAGTATCGATATTCAATTTTGAGGGATTGATTGAATCGAGATACTGGTTTTTCAGCTATCTGTCTCAGCCCGCTAGCCTGAGGATATACTGACTGTATCTCTGCTGAACCGTCTTTTTAGAGAATATAGTGGAGGCCTTACAACCTTTCAACATTGGATCTCCCTCTAATTTAGAGGGGAATCGGATGAAGCTGCCTTAAATGAGATTAGAAGATAACCTTGACGATGAATGCGTATCCACATCTGACAAAGTTTTAAAGATACACAAGACTACACCTGGGATTAGCCAAGGTACGATACCATTAAGAAAGATTTCAATGTTTAGTCAACACTGTAAAGTTGCATGCTCCTTCGCATGATCATCTGACGATTTGCACGTAAATAGAGATAATTTTAATCTGTCTTCTACTAATACTAATAATGCTTCTCGGAAATCACCTCCAATATATTTAGCTTCCAAGATAAATGATTTTATCAGTTTTTCAAATCAGATTAAAGACAATGTAGATGATAAATTTTACATCAAATATCTAGGAAATCAAATTAAAATACAATTTTATAAAACATGTGATTTCTTAGAGTTTAAGAAAATGGCTATTTCAAATAAATTTTTATTTCATACATATTTTCTGCTGGACGACAAAACAATAACAGCAACAGGACTTCCTAATTTATCTAATTTAGATATCAAGCTATTACAAGAACTTGAAATAAATGTAATCACTTTACATAAATGTAAATAACTGTACATATTTAAACTCTGCCGATAGCTTGTATGCTACATTAAAAATCAATCTAAGCGCTAAATATTCATTGGCACAACGAAAGGAAAATCAAATTTTTATTTCATTCACGAATCTATTGGGAAAAATTTATTAATAACAGAATTACTTTACAATATTACCGATGTCAGGCCTTCGGACATATATCTTCAAATTATTTTAAAAAACCGAGATGTGTGAAATACGGACTCTCATATCTGAGTATAAAAAAATAGAGCCAGCCAAATGTTGTAACTGTGTGGGAGATGATCCGGCGAGTTTCTTACAATACCCTTCATATTTAAAATTTATAGACAAGAAAAAAGCTATTGGAGATTTATCAGCACATAAAAGAACTACACATAGGTGTGATGTCATTGATCAGCCTAAGAAAACTAGTGACATTTGCCGGCAAAATCCGGAGTTGAGTTCTACTACCCATTTTCCGCTTTTACGGGTAGTTATAGAGCCTAATATAAATTCTGAACATGAGCATCGTTCATATGCTGAAATAATAAGCGAAACTCTAGTTACTAGTCTACTTTTAATAATAATAAGGATAACTTGATGAATAATTTTAAAGATCTTAATAGTTTAGCTACTGAATTTAGAAGACTAAAGAGCTTTATAAACATTCTGAGAATGCTTGCAGCTGTACGTATATTGAATGGCAGATTAGCCAAATGTGTAAACGGTATCAAGCGTCTTCAGGCGTTCATGGAGATGGCGGAACAATTAGTATAATGCTTAGAATAGATAAATTACATATATGTTTTAAATGCTACCAATACATTAACAATAAATACATGGAATTCAATTATTTCCTTGAAAAATGCGAAGATATTGCCTTGGTAACGGAAATTTGGAAACTTGGCTGGTATCATCAATTCGTATAAACTTTGCTGGATATAATTATTAGAGAGGAGTGCCAAGGGTAGAGTTGCGATAATCATTCGAGATAATCTAAGGTTTAATTTGTTACCTGCTATCAGTATTCAGGATTGTGAAATTATTGTTATTAAGATTTTGTCTAGATCTCGCTTTGAGGGTTATATATATTCCTCCTAAAGCAAATTTTAATTTTAATTCACTCGATGAGGTTTTCTTTAAGCATTCCAGGGTGATGATCGAGAGGGAGTTCAATACACTGCACCGCTCGTAAAACAATTTCTATAATAACCATAGAGGAATAAACATGCTTCACTACATAAATATAAATCATTTATCCACTATACATAATAATTTTTACATATAATGCCAAATAAAAAGGCCTACAAACATAGATCTATTTATGATAAAAAAATCTTCCATATAATTACAATTGTTTCACGGTGCATGAGCTTTCCTCCAATCATCTTTCAATTATGTTGGACATGGAGATAACGAAGATTCATTTGCTCCAAAATAATTTCCTTAGATGAAAAAAGTTCTATCAAAGGACCGACAAATGGTCCATAATGTATGACTTCTCTTCTGTAACAATTCTTGTATAGAAAGACTTCAGTCCTTCTTGAAGAGAGTTTACAAGCAGTCCATTATTTTTAAAACTTGTAATAAAACTTGTAATAAAAAATTTTTAAATGCCGAATCGGAGAATATTATCAAGTTAAATATATTGATTCGACTTAGAAATCATTTTAAAAGAAAATATCAGTGTACATTGATCGTTATAAATTTTTTCGTAATTTGTTTAATAAACTTATTAATGATCATTTGCGGGTTTTACGAGATAAGAGTTGGGCAAAAATACTGAGTAGACTACAAACCAGAGATAACTTGCTCTGGTCGACTCTAAAATCTTTTAAAAAAAAACGAGTTCCAATACCTCCATTTACCTTAAACGATGACTCGTATCTCCACGAAGCCGATCATAAGGCACAAGCCTTGGCAGATATATTAAGTGTGAGAAAAAGTCCAAGGTGTTTTTCCCGTTACATCTAATGAGAAAAACGCCACGAACTTTTTCCCACACCTAATATTTCACGCTGTTTATCAATAAGCTTCTACTTTGATTTCCCTTCACAATAATAAAGTTATTGAATTTATACAATATTTAGATGCAGTTACTCCTGAATAGATTATAATTTCCTATCTCCGAAATTAATTGGTAATATTATTTGATTTTTCCAGCAATAAGGTGCCGGGTCCTGATAAAATCACAATTTTAATGCTTAAAAGAAGTTCATTCAAAATTATTATTCAAATATACTATTGTATATTATTCGTTTCTCAATTTCTTTTTATTATTTTCCAATTTCTTGGTGTTGTGCCGAAGTCTTAGCGTTTCTGAAATCTGGCAAAAATTTCATCCGCAAGCTATAGGCCTATAAATCTACTTAGCATGTTGAGCAAAGTTTATGAAAAGGTTTTACATAATCGTATCAATACCTTACTATAAAATAATAATATTGTAATTAATGAACAATTCAGATTTAGACCCAAGCATTCCATCCAAGCTCAGTTGTTACGTGTGTCTGAGTATTTCAGCATATAGATGAACTTGAATCGCAGCTCCGCCATGGTTTTGCTTGATTTGCAAAAAGAAATTTGATTCGTGTGACAGGCTATATATATAAATTACATGTTATGCATTTTCTAAAATACTTAAATTACCAATTCCAAAATATTAAATTAAAATAATTAGATGTTATTTAACTCAAGAATCTTCTAAACTTGTAAACTTTGATGGCGGACATTCCACGCAACATCCAGTGAATGCTGGAGTTCCTCAGGACAAGACAATCACCCTTAAGAGACTGCCAAATCTTCCAAATCTTGAGACCAGAATTACGAAAGAATTAAAATCATTAGATATCAATATTAACAATTGCATGTATCTAAATACTGCGGAAAGCATATATGTCACTCTCAAATTAACTTGGGCGCTAAGTACACTATGGCACAGCTGAGAAAGCTTAAGTATCTTTTCCATTCACATATATTAGGAGAAATATATCAATAATAAAACTATACTGCAATATTATCAATGTCAAGCCTTCGGATACGTCTTCTTTCTGTTTTAAGCGACCTCGCTGCGTAAAATGCCGACTTTTCCATCTGAGTGTAAGAAGAAGTCGAACGAACTAGCTAAATGTTGCAATTATTCAGGAGAATATCTAATTAGTTTTTCCTAATGTTCTTCATATCTGCGCATTGAAAAGAAGAAAAACTATTCCAATCTCTTGGATGTTAAAAAGGTGCTGCCGAGGAGAGGCAACTGATCATTCACCAAGAATCTCGCAGAAATTTTCACAGCAAATATCGGAATTAAACTCTACAACGCATTTTTCGTCTATGAACGGCATGCCAAGTGGGTCCATGACGAATTCAGAAAATAAGCATGGTTTTTGCACATACGCTGTGTGCGTATGTTGTGAGCTGTTTGCGGAGTTCCGATAGTAGACATAATGATCAAGATTCAACTCCTCAAAACCATGTTAATGACTTGCATGATTTCGCAGCGGAGTTCCATAGACTGAGAAGCCTTATAAATATACAGTCGAATATACAGTCTCTGATAATTTATTTGTTACCACAAGTTCACTACATCCTGATAAGGCTTATTAAAGTTATAAATCATAGAATCTGGAAATTATGTGAATAACCAAAGAGGACTAATTGATTAAATTTTAATAGATAATTTTCCAAGAATATAATACGATAATATATCTTCTCTTTGAAGATTTTACTTAGAAAAGATAACTTGTTGTTAATATTATCATTTGAATTATTCGTACTAGTTATAACGCGAGACGTCAAATTCTTTATATTGTGTTGCGATAATGTATTATATGCGTAATTCTGAATTTATAATTTTGTAATACTGAAGATGATCTAATTTAAAATCGAAACATTTATTTTTCTAATTATACATATATGATTAAAATACAAAATATTAACAAAATATTAAATATCTTACGTTGTGTATGCCGTTAAGAGAGCTTTCTCTTATAGATATTCCTTATAGATATAATAGTAGCCTTGCCTAGTTCTAATAATAAACTGGCTAGTTGTAGAACCGG